CGCCCCTACCCTCTTCCCCAAGCCCCTCCCCTCTTCCGCACGCGCCTCCCCTCTTCCCCACGCCCCTCCCCTCTTCCCCACGCCCCTCCCCTCTTCCCCACGCCCCTCCCCTCTTCCCCACGCCCCTCCCCTCTTCCCCACGCCCCTCCCCCACGGCCCTCCTCATTCCCCCACGGCCCTCCTCATTCCCCCTCCCCCTCGCAGGTCCTCCCCGACGCAAAGCTGCGCATCGGCGCGGCGCCCGCCGGTGAGGTGCACGCCGCCGCCGCGCCCTCCTCGTCGCCCGCGGCGGCGAGCGGCGGCGGCGGCGGCGGCGGCACGCTCCTCCACCTCCTCGGCTCGGTCCTGCGCTCGCTGCTGCGCCCCATGCCCGCGGGCCCGCCCCCGCAAAGCCTCGCGGGCGAGCCTGCCGGCGGGCCTTCGAGCCGGCACATGGAGCGAGAGATCGCTGGCGCGTACACGGCTCTGCTGCTCGGCTTCCTCTGCCGCGGCGTCCCGGCGCACTGCGACGTGGCGCGAGCTTGGCCCGTGGAGAGTCCTTCTCTTGGGTCGGCGGGCGGCTCAGGCTCGAGGCTGGCTTGCGGCTAGGTGCTCGGTACGCTCGGCGCTCCCTCCTTCGGGCCCGTCTCGGCGAGCCGCGCCCTTGCCCGCCGCTCCTCGCCACCGCCCGCCCTCACCCTCACGCCCGCCCTCGTGCAGGAGCTGCTCCGCTCCTTCCTCACCCTCCACTCCTCCGCCAAGCTGCTCTCCCCCGAGGGCACGCGCGCCATGGCTTCGGTCGTCGCTTGGATGGAGTCCTATCGGCCCGCCCAGCCCCCCGCCGGCACGGGCTGAGCCGTGCCTCAAACCTGGTGCATGGTTTTTATGGACGAAACCTCTTGCCGCGCGGCGATGCGCAGCAGGCACAGACCATGTCTTGCCTCTTGCGAGTGTACAAGAGCCTCCCCCATTGCCCATTCGTCTTGTGCGAGAGCCGCCAACACGTGAAATATACACTCGCATGTTGACTTCTGGGGGGTATACGCTGTATTCGCGTCGATATTATTTTTCTGCACTATGCTTTATATGGGGTGCTCCGTGTAACGGTGTACGTATTAGAGCTGTCAAACGTTAACTTTGGGCCTAACAGTTGCACTACTGGGCTGGGTTTTTAGGCATTGTGGGGTTGGCACTCCCATCGACCCTCATGACCTCCTGCGGTCTCTGAGATGGACACCAGTGGGGTGAGACCACAGCCAGGATACAACCGAAGGCTGGGTAAGCAGTAGAGGTCGATACTCGACGCGTCCCACATGGTCTGTGTCGCTGTCGGCACGCTGTCGACAGGACGTCGAGCGACACCGGTGGCAGTGCCACCCAGGAGTGGTCGGTCGGTCTCCCGTCATGAGAGAGCCACCATGTGATCCGTATGATGGTTCCTGACAACCGCCTCAGTCAACTTTCGTCACAGTTCCCGCTCTGAGAGGAGCTGCGGGTCAGTTCGACAGCTGGAGCTGTGTCGCCGGCGTGCGGCGGCCTGCCTCCGGAGGTGCCTCTGAGGCGGACATTTTTTGGTCACCGTGAGAGAACGCGTTCGAATTTTCACTCCGGAACTTCAACTCCGCACGCGCACCGGCCAGGGCTACAATAGTGCCAGTGAGGCGGAGGCGCGAGTCGGAAGGCCGCGACCGTCAAGTGGTTTCCCAATTTTCCTACAATCGAGAGAGACACTTCTGAGTCTCTTCCAACACCGGAGTCAGTCATCGATGGCACTTGCAAATCAGGAAGCCCCTACGCGCGGGCGCTTGCTGCCATCGAGACTATCTGGAACTGGTTCGATCTGCAGAAGGAGTGGCGCGCCCTTGACGACTACACAGCAGCCAACTGGCAGCCCGGCGACACCAAGATACGTTACCGCGAGTCCATCCGCTACGTCTCAACTTCGCAGCCTTACGCGGGGCGGTGGCTCGACACCAAACTTGACGGCAGCAACGCCACAACCATTCCAGACGACATATTCATCGGCGAACTTCAGCGCCGAAACGGTCTTCACCTCTCGCAGTGCCGCTCGACTGTCACGCGGGCACTCGAGCTTGGGGACACAGTCGGTGGTGCAAAGGACTACCATGGCGACTGGTTCCTCAACAACGCCGCCCGGCGGCGCCCACACGACGGCGTACTTCGCGCCTGGTACGATTGTGTCCACGCCGTCTCCGTCTCCCGGCCCGTTATGGGAGATGCCGAAAAACCAGAGCTCACCAAACAGTTCAACGAGGGCTACAAAACCGACCTGGCTGAGCCGGGCGAGGCTCCCGGGGGCAAAGACGAGATCAGTGAGGTCAAACTTTGGACCCCCCTCCGGGGTGGCTTGCCCGTTGGGGTCGGCCGCGCCGACACCGGAGGCAACCCCGGCTCCGTTGGAGACAAGTTCGCCTTCGGCAACACCGAAGAGCGCGCCCGCCTTGCAAACATGGGCTGCAAGCAACGCGGGTTCCGTGGTCAACGGGCGTTCGACCACACCACCGGCCAAGGCTACGTCAAGTCACAGCGTGGCCACTACCATGATGGGATCTTCACCAAACGCAACAAGTTCAACCTGCTTCTCCACGAGACATTCGGCGGCGGCTTCTCGCCGCCAGCAGTTGCAAAGATCAACCGCCTTGCGCGCAAGGCTCAACGCTCGGGCGTTGACCGCACCGCGTACCCTCCCCACTCCCGCCTCTCATTTGTGTCACACCACGCGGAACGCATCTCCATCGCTTCGGTGAAGGGGGTAAACCGTGCCATCCTCGATCGCCGTGCAAAGCTCGCTTCCGAGCTCTCACGCCGCGCGTAGGGCCCTTAGGGGCCTAGAGAACACAACCCCCCTCTCTCTTTTCTCCCAGTAAGCTAAAAGTACAGTACAATCGCTGTGGACCCAGCCACGTATATGGGGTGTCGCTCCGTGTAAGGTGTAACGGTGTATACGGCTTGCACGCGCACACGGGTCACGGCACGGGAAGGCATAGCGACACATAAGCAGCCCCCTCGCGCTCGCCGCACATCTGGGCGCGCCGTCAAGACACCCCTCGCGGTGCGGCCGACAAGCCTCGGTGGAGCCGAGTGAGCTCGGCGACGACAAGGTCGCGTCTCTGGTGCGCCGCACGCTCCCACAGCGCCGAGAGGGCCGGCCAGACCGACGCGTGGGGCTGCGCCGCGGGTGCGCTCTGCAGCAGCTCGCGCAGCGCAGCCAGGAGCCACAGCTGCGCCTCGTCGCCTCGGCAGAGCGGGAGGCGCGCGGCGAGGCCGGCCGAGAGGCGCGGCACCAGAGGCGACATCGCGGCGAGGTCGGAGAGCGCCGTATGGCGGAGCAGCGAGCACAGCGCGTGCGCGGCGTGCAGCGCCGCGGAGACGTCCGCCGCCGCGTCGAGCAGCGCAGCGAGCAGCGTGAACGCCTCGAGGGTGGCGGCGGCGTCGTCCGCCTCGTCGCCGGACGATCCAAACGCCCACCAGGAAGGGAGGAGCCAGCAGAGGCGCGCCTGCAGCACGGCGCGCAGCGGCGGCGGGTAGCCGCCCTCGCCGCGGCAGAGGGGCGGCGCCTCGGCGGCGGCGGCGGAGAGGACTTGCCGGAAGGAGAGGTGCGACTGCAGCTCGCTCGCGCACAGGCCGAGCGCGCAGTAGCGAGCGTCGCGCGCGAGCGCCGTCGGCAGCTGCTCGCACGCACCCGCCGCGCTGGCGGGCATCGCACGCAGCAGCGCCCTCCCCGCCTGCAGCGGCAGCAGCGCCACCAGGCAGGAGAGAGCCCGCTCCGCCCCTTCGCGCAGCCGCTCCGCCCGGCCGCTCTCGCCGCCGCCCCCGCCCGCCCACGCCTCCGCCTCGTCGTCGTCGTCGGCATCGGCCTCCTCCTCCTCCGCCGCCGCCGCCGCCGCCTCCCCGAGGTGAGCGCCTCCCTTGCCTCCCTCCTCCGGCTCGGCGGGAGCGCTCGCCTCGAGGGGAGGCATCAGACAGGCGCAGGCGGCCCCCTCCGGGTCTGCCCCCCACTCCTCAACCTCGTCCAGAGGCCGCTCGAGCAGCTGCAAGAGAGCGCCAACCAAGCGCGAGGCCTGCTCTTCGCCGCCGCCGCCGCCGCTTAGCCACGAGGCCAGGGCCGGGTGGGACGGCGGCAGCGACCACAGCTCCGCCAGCAGCTCCGCCGCCTGCGCGCAAAAGGCGGAGCAGCGCCGCTCACGCCACCGCCGCGCCGCGCCGTCGCCGGAGGAGGAGGCGGCGGCCCGCTCCGACGCCTCGCCGAGCAGAGTGCGAGTGCAGCCTTGCGCGGCGGCCTGCAAGGCCGTCCCGCCGCCCGCCGCGCCACCCACCGCGCCCGCCGCGCCCGCCCGCTCGCCCGCCCGCTCGCCCGCCTGGCTCGCTTGCCGCACTAGCTTGCCCAGCGCAGCGCCGAGCCGATCCGCGAGCCGCGGCGGCGGAGCGGCGGCGGAGGCGGCGCCGCACGCCGTCCGCAGGGCGTCGGCCGCCTCTAGCGACCGCACCACTACAGCAGGCCACCACTCGCCTCGCGCTGCGCCGCTCCACTCGCCCGCCGACCCGCCGCCCGCCGACCCGCCAGAGCAGCAGCCCGCTGGAGGAGGCTCGCCGCCCTCGCCGCCGCCCGAGGCGACGAGCTGCAGCAGCCGCCGCGTAAGCTTGGTCAGGAGGAGCGCGTCGCCCGCCGCGCGAGACTGGGCGGCCGGCTGCGCGGCGGCGGACAGCTCGGCAGAGAGCGCGTCCAGCGACGCCGCCCAGCGAGGCAGCAGCCGCGGCAGCAGCGCCACCGCCCACTGCCGGCCTAGCTCGCGCTGCGCCGGCAGCCGCATCGACGCGAGCTCCTTGGCTGTGTGCAGCAGCGCGAGCAGCGCGTGCGCCTCCAGCCGGCCGCCGCCGCCGCCGCCGCCCGCCGCCGGCACCGCGGCACCGCCAGGCGCGGGAAGCAGGTCGAGAGCGTAGCTGAGCGAGCGCAGCACGGTGCCGTCAGCACGGTTCGACTCGGACCGCATCACCACGGCGACAGTCGTCGCGAGCGCACTGCCCACGGCCTCGCTCGGCTCGGGACGCGCCAGCTGCCTCAGGAGCGCGCCACGCAGCGCCTCCTTTTGCTCGGCGGTCATCGCCCGCCCACGCCAGCGCCGAACGATGTGGTTCTTGAGCTGCGTCGCCGCGAGCAGCCGCGCCGAGTTGAGCGGCGGCGACGCGATCTCTGCCGACGTGGCGCTGGCTTCGAGGTAGCCGAGGAGGCAGGTGCAGAACTGGGCTGGCCCGGCCGCTGCGAGGCGGCCCAGCTCCTCCTCACCCTGCCGACGCTCCGCCGCGTCGACGGAGAGGCAGCAGGAAAAGGCGAAGTCCATGGAGGTAGGCAGGATCGATGCAGGAAGGAGGTGGCGGTGATGTTTGATTAGGACGATTGTTGAGAGGTAAATTGAGTGTGCCACGACGAGCGTGCTCGTGACTGGTTGTAGCGTGTTCTGCGTTCTGAGGCCCGCGTAGCCGTTCTGTCTTCCTCGAAGAAAAGAAATAGAACGCGTCTACTCGATCCCCCTCCTTTAGGCGTCTCATCAGAACGTGGCCGAGGAGAGCGTACGTAAGTGATGAGTCAGAGGATGAAGCGGCAGGAGAGAGAACGACGAGAGTGAGAAGACCGGGAGGCGGCATGAAGGTCGCTGCGAGAATTGGCGAGAGACTGCGAGAGACATAGGAAGAGGCAGACGCCCAAGGGTGGGCGACGGCTAGCACCACACTCCTCTCCTTAAAATCCGTATATGGCGGCGTGCCGTCCTGCCATCCTCCCATATCCCTGCTATCTGTTTCTTTCTTTTCCTTGTGTTTTAGTGCCAGTGCGCGCCAGTCCCGTGCCCAGTGTCGTGCGAGGGAGCTTTTCATCCATCCCTCCTTTTAGGCGTCTCATCAGAACGTGGCCGAGGAGAGCGTAAGTAGAGCGATGAGTCAGAGGATGAAGCGGCAGGAGAGAGAACGACGCGAGTGAGAAGACCGGGAGGCGGCATGAAGGTCGCTGCGAGAATTGGCGAGAGACTGCGAGAGACATAGGAAGAGGCAGACGCCCAAGGGTGGGCGACGGCTAGCACCACACTCCTCTCCTTAAAATCCGTATATGGCGGCGTGCCGTCCTGCCATCCTCCCATATCCCTCCTAGGGTCTCTGTTTCTCTCTTTTCCTTGTGTTTTAGTGCCAGTGCGCGCCAGTCCCGTGCCCAGTGGGGGGTTTTTGCTAAGGGTGTAGATCAGGTTCCACACCATCGTCCCACACGTAGCTCAGCGGTCAGGTGAAAAGGGGTTTTTGCTAAGGGCCTCCCACACACGCCACCCACACCGGATATGTCTTCGGCACTTTTTGCACTTTTCTTTCGTTTATAAGCCTCGTGCATAAGTTACGAGGCGCGTACCGCCTTTTTTGGCGAGCGCAAAGGACGTCCGACTTTGGGACGCACGTGACACAGCCGCGCCATGCCGAGCCTTCCGTACACCGTGGGAGAGCTGGTGGAATCGGCGTACAAACTCATGCTCGCGGCCGTGTTGGACTCGAGCGACGAGGAACTCGCCGACGATTTCGTGGTCGACGCCTTGGAGCCGCTGGCCCGCCGCAATCTGAACGCGATCGGCCCCGAGCGCCTGAGCCTTGCCAGGCTGCAGAGGGAGGCGGACGAGCACGGGTTCGACGGCGACGACATGTCCTCTGCAACCTACCAGCAGTTCGGCTTCCGCCTCTCCTGGCTGTACGAGGTCGTGCATGCACTGAAGGTGCCGCCCGTCTTTGACACGATCTCGAACCACAAGTTCTCCGGCGAGGAGGGCGTGCTCATTCTCCTGCGCCGCTGGCGCCACACCGGGGGCTTGCACACTCTCACTATGGAGACAGGCCGAAGCATCCCCGCCCTCTCTGAGTGCGTGCAGTACATGGCTAGTTGCCTGTCTCGTGACTCACCGCCTCCCCGGAGCAGTGCTGACGCAACCTGTCTGTACAGGTGGAGCACGTGCACCGCGAGTTCCCTCACCTGGTCGACCACCGCTCCTTCACCTCATGGGCGAATCACTTTGAGGACTTTGCTGAGGCCTTCCGCGAGCATGGCCTGCCCATTGACAACCTGATCGGATTCATCGACGGCAAGCTCTGGCCGTGCTGCCGCCCGGGCAAGTACCAAGAGGTGCTGTACTCGGGGCACAAGCGCATCCATGGCATCAAGGTCCAGGGCATTGTCTTCCCAAATGGTGAGTACCAATCCTGTCTATCTGCTGCCGCAGCCGCGACCTTACTCCTCCCGCCGCACGTCCCCAGGGATGCAGCCCTACCCGTACGGGCCGATCAACGGCGCCCGCCACGATTCCTTCGTCCTCTCGCAGTCTCGGATTGTTGAGATTCTGCACGACGTCTGCCGCGGGGGCCAGTTCGAGACGACCCCTGGTGGCCTTGGTAAGGACTATGTTCTCTTCGGCGACTCGGCATACCCCATCAGCGCCTTCCTTTGGCGCATGTACAAGGGCATCATGACGGCGGCGCAGACCACCTTCAACCGGGACATGGCGCCGGCACGCGTCACAGTCGAGTGGGGCTTCGGCAAGATTGTCAACCTCTGGCCATTCCTGGACTACCGCAAGAAGAGCCAGGTCCTGCTCTCCCCGGTCGGCCTCTACTTTCCCGTGGCGAACGTGCTCACCAACATGCACACATGCCTCTCGCGCGGGAACATTGTGAGCCTCGAGTTCGAGCTTGAGCCACCCAGCCTCGAGGACTACATGAACGGTGGCCCGTACAACTAAGAAGTTGAGACGGGTTCAGCTTTTCTACTCTAAAAGAAGTTTGAACACACTCGTGATGGGAGCCACGACGAAAAATTATCATTAGGGAAAAAGGAAAATCATCCGCGAAACGACAAAAAGGCCAAGTTTGCTCGAGAAGACGGCGCCCGCGAAGCGACGCTCTCGTGCCGCGCCGCTCGCACGCCTGAGTGAGACTACGCAGCTTTTTGTGTTCAGAGCCTCAAAAGGTGCAAGAACGAGCCGCCCACCGAGTTGCAGCTCATTCTGGGAGTGGGTTAGCTCTCGCTGTGCCTCCCGCCGCGGCAGTGCGGTGGGGCGGTCGGGCGCACCATGCCTCGGCGGCACACACGCCATCACCAGCACCAACCGGTGGTGAAACTACATGCAGTAGCCAGGGGTCCACATGAAACAGATGTGGCAATGAAATACTGGAGCACTACACATGACTGCACCTCGGCGACGCTCGCTTGCTCTCCGTTGCACCGTGCTCCTCTTCTCATGTTCACCTTGCAGGAGGCCACCCGTGAGAATAAGACGGCTCGCTGCGCCGGTCCGTGCTTTGCCGGTGGTGCTTCTAAATTTCTGTCTACGATGATGAGCACTCCGCTATTCGCGTTGCTGCTCTCGGTCGCCTGCTCTCCGCCCATCTCGCCACGGCTGGCCTGCCCGAGCTGCCGCCAGGCGCTGCAGGAGAAGTCGTATCGACGGCATCTCGCGTTTTGCGCTCCGGATCTCCTCGACCCGGAGGGCTGGGCTGCTGGTGACTGCGCCGTCGTCCAGCGCCACTGCTCGCGGCTGCACCGTCCTGGCAGCGCCACCGCTCGCGCGCTGGAGCTGCGCTTCGGCTTCGGAGGCAAGCCGGCCGTCACCTCGCAGCAGCGGCTGGCAGCCGAAATGGGCTGGACCAACCGGAGGACTCGGGACACGATCGCCAAGTTTCTCCACGCCATCCCGCCCGTCAGCGAGCCGAGCGACCGGCTGCAGGTTCTGTACGAGGACGCCTCGATGCTCGTCGTCAACAAGCCCGCCGGCGTCGGCGTGACGCCCGAGCACAGATGGCGCGGCGGCTCGGTGCTGAACTGGGTGATGTGGCACCTCTCGCGCGACGCCGCTCCTCCGCAGGACGGGCGGGGGCGAGGAGGAGGCGGCGGACAGCGGCGGCGGGGAAGAGGAGGGCGAGGTGGCAGGCGCACTCCGGCGCCAGCACCGGAGCCGCGGCCGTGCCACCGCCTCGACTTGAACACGTCCGGCGCGCTGGTCTTCGCAAAGACGCCCGAGGCGGCGAGCGCGCTCATGTCGCAGTTCGAGTCGCGCCGCGTGCGCAAGGCGTACGCCGCACTCTGCACCGCCCCGCCCGGCGAGTCGCTCGTCGAGGGGGAGATCTGCCGCGTGGACGGCGTCGCGGGCCGCGCGGAGAGGCGGCGTCCGCGAAGCGCGCCTCTTCACACCCCCGCGCTGTGAGCAGGCGTGCAGCACTGCGAGAGGCGCGTGTGCGGCCCGGGCGAGAGCGGGCAGGCGGCGCGCACCTCGCTCGTCGTCGTGGCGGACTCGGCGGCCGGCGGTGAGGCTGGCTCGGCGGGTGCGGCGGGCGGCGAATGCCTCCTCCTCGCGCGGCCCGAGCAGGGGAGGACGCACCAGGTGCGGCTGCACTGCGCCGCGGCGGGCTCGCCCATCCTCGGAGACGCCCTCTACGGAGGCGGCGAGGGGCGCGGCCCGCTGCAGCGGCACGGGCTGCACGCCCTCGCTCTGACTCTCGTGTCGCCGGCCACCGGAGCGCCGCTCGAGGTGGTCGCCCCGCTGGCGGACGACATGCGGCGCGCCGCGCTCGAGGCCGGCCTGCGGATGCGGTCGGCGGGGGCGGGGCGGGCGGGGGCGTGCTCGGACGCGGAGCGCGCGGCGTTGCAGACGGCTCTGGAATAGGAGCGTGGAGCTTTTATTTGGGTTCTGACCAGGTTCTACTAACGGTCAAAAACTCTGAGGCAAGATATGGCGTGGGATTTAGTTAGAGGGACATGCACATGCACATGCACATGGACATGGACATGGACATGGACATGACACATCATGTCATCACATCTCACATGCACATGTGCACATGCACATGTGCATGTGCATGTGGGCATGTGTCGGTCAAAATGTGTGCACGTGCATGTCCATGCACATCGTGAGACATGTGCATGTCCGTATGGCATGTGCATGCACACGCGCATGCACATGCACATGTGCATGTGCATGTGGAGAAGACAAGCATGCGCATGTGTGCACAACATGTACATGTCCACATGTGACATTGAATCCGTTTGAAATTTTTTCATGTCCGCGCAGCAATTCAATCATGCACATGCACACATACATGTGTTGTCCCCGCCCGATGCACGATCTTGGTGTGAGGGCGGATGTTCAAACCAGAGAGTGGAGGACCTCTGAAAGCTGACCTCGGACACCATATGTCGGACACATACGTGCGCGGTCGACTCTTTTCGTTTTGCGCGATACTCTACGTGTACGGCTCTATATAATCTCCGCGTTTTTTGAGCGTTGTGGTCACATATCCCCCCTTCAAACAGAAACACACCTTAGTCACATCTCTCCACTAGCACCGTCAACGACGAGCGAGGTGTGAGATCACTCGCACTGAAATATATTAGATTGCGGTGCGTGAGACCCAGGGCCAGCAGCCACGAGCCAGCTGCTCTCTCGAAGCTGCTGAACAGGCCACTCTTGGGGAGTTGCTGCTTGCCAAGCTAGCAAGCGTCACTGCTCCTCCTCCTCCTCCTTCTCCGGCGGCGGCGGCGCCTCGGAGAGCCACTCGCGTAGCTGCGAGGCGATCTCGCCAGGCAGTGGCTCCTCCGCCACGCTGTCTTCGGCGAGGGCGTCGAGTGCTCCGCACCTGGGCGCGGGCAGCGAGGGAAGGCGTGTGGAGGTGTGCGCAAGCGTGCAGGGTAAGTGCGTGTGTTGTCGGGAGGTGTGGACGGGACGGCCTCGCACCACGCGAGCTCGTCACGCAGCGAGGTCACCTCCCGCAAGGCGAGCATCAGGCCCGCTACGCTGCGCCGCACCGTCGTCTCGCCAGAGAGCGGCTCGCTGTCGGCAAAGGCAGAGAGGAGCTGCTTTGCCGTGGCCGCCGCGTCCCAGTCCTTGGACCGGCATATGGCCGCGAGCCGGGGCAGCCGCGCGTCCGCAGCGATCGTGCACGCCTCCGTGACGCCCTGGTGCCTCACCTCTGCGTCACTGCTGCCAACAGCGCAAAGGAGCGCCTTGACGAGTGCCGGATCGTCGAGCGTGTCGGGTAGCTTGGCGAGAGTCTCCGCGAGAAGGCGGATGGCCACACGCCGCAGCCCCAGCTCGGGGTCGACCGCAGCGCCCTCGCCAGACTCTGGCTTGGCCTGCCTCGCATCTTCCGCGAGAGCACGGAGGAGGCCCGCGCAGAGCGAGGAAGAGGCCGCAGCGATCGCGAGCTGCTCGGTGTCGGGCGCCCGAGACACGACGGCGAGCAGAACTGCCCCCGACTTTTGCCGCATCGGCGGCTCGGGGTGCAGCACCATTGTCATGACCAGGATCCTCATCCCGGCCGACATCACCTCGGTCGCAAAGGCGCTGCCACCGTCGGCGGCCCTCTGCTCGAGAAGATCGAGGGCGAGGCGGGCCTTCTCTGTGCCCTTGTCCTCCATCATCGCCATCGGCTCCAGCTTGCTCAGGAGCGCTGCCGCCATGGCTCTGTGTGCTCACGAAGAAGCTCGAGCTTTCGGCGGGGGCCCGAAAAAAAGAATTTGATTCTGGGGCAGAGGACTGGTGTGTAGCGGCGTGCCGTCCTCCCATCCCTCCCTTTTATTTTTTTCTTTTTTCGAAAAAAGAAAAATTGACTTTCTCCTTTTACCAAGTTCGGGGACGCACGTTCCGCTCGAACTCCGCCTTCACCTCGGCCCGCGGCGCTTGTTCGCGGCGCCCACCGCTTCTTCCATCCACGTAGACGCATGGCGGCGAGCTCTCACGGATTGCAACCCGCATGGCGAGCTGCTCCGATGGATTCTACGCAGCCTGGGCGGCGGGCGCCGCTGCAGATGGCGTTTGTCATCACTCTCACCATGGACGGGCCCTACATTGACGGGGCCGCGGTGCTCGGCCACTCGATCCGTACCGCACACAGCCACTTTGCAAAGGATGGTGAACCGTCACCTGCGCGGGCGGAAGCTGGAGAGGAGGGGACACTGCAGCCGCCGACGTACGTGAGCTCCCTCGTCGCATTGACACACCCGACCGTCTCCAACGCGACGCGCGCTGCTCTCGCCTTGGTTGGCTTCCGAGTGCTCGAGCGACCGACCCCGGTGGCCATCCCCGAGATCCGCGGCTCCTTTTTGCGGCAACGCATCGTCCGCTCAGGGTGCTGCGGCGCCACAGAACTGATGAAGCTGTGGGCGTGGTCGCTGGTGGAGTACGACCGGGTGCTGCTCCTCGACACGGACTCGATCGTGCTGCGGCCGATTCCGCTCGGGATCCTGCTGCGCATGGCGCCGGGCGACCTCGCTTACACGTACGACTACGGGATGGGCAAGCGAGGCCTCCGCACACCGCCCATCCAGGGAGGCTTCTTGCTGGTGCGCCCCTCGCCGAGCGTGCTGGCCGAGCTGCTCGAGATTGTGCGCGAGGGCGACTTTCGACCCGGCAGCGGGTGGGGCGGCTCAAACATCGGCCACTTTTGGGGCGGCGTCACCGTGCAGGGGTTGCTGCCATACTACTACACCGTGCGGGCGGACCGCCGACGGGTGTCAGGCATGGAGCTCGACCGTTGCGTCTTCAACAACATGGCGGACAACCCGCGGGGCGCGGAGTACGCGGTCGCCCTGGTCCCGCTGAACGCTTCGGCCTCGGGAGCCGCGCGCGACATGCGGTGGCAATACGTCGGGCCCGACTGCCGCGCGAGCACGCTGGATGCGATCCGCAGCGCCCACTTCACAATCTGCTCAAAGCCCTGGAACTGCCGTCCGAACCGCAAGCACGCGCTCTGCTTGGCCCTTCATGCGCGCTGGCACAGCCTCCGAGCGGCCTTCGTGGCCTGGCGCGCGCGCGGGCCGCACGGCGGCGCCGCCGACGGCGAGGGCGAGGGCGCCGCCGACGCGGCCGGCGGCACGCGCGAGAGCACGGCGAGCGCGGTCGTCGCCCGCGCCTGCCGGGGAGGCTACAAGCCGCTAGACCTGGGAGGGAGTCTCAGGTACTCGGCCGCGCCGCAACGTCGGCTCCACCCGCGGGCGCGATCGTCGCGCGCACCCGCAAAAGGGGCGATGCGATGACGGGAGACCGGGCCGTCGAGACCGGCGAGACAGCAAAGCGGAGGGGGTCAGGTACAAGTAAGCTGCCCAGGACTTCTCAAGGGGGGGCAACCCTCGCGACTCTCAAATGATACCATTGACTCGAGCATAGGTAAGAACACTAGAGAGAGAGATTTTTAGCAATACCAAACAACTAAACACTAGTGCGAACACAAACACAACACGAAACACAGTTGTGCGCGCCAAGTCCCGCCGTGCGCCCCGTGCGGGCCCCGCGTGCAGAGGTCCCGTCGTTCCTAGTGTTGTGACCTGCGGTAACCTCACACAAAGCGAAGTGCGAAATTCGGACAATGCTCTTTTCCCACGCCCGCCACATGACGCCCACCGCCGCCGCGTCGGTCGGCGCGCGCCGACGCCGACCATCACCACCGACCGACGGCTCGCACGGCCGTGCGGTGAGCAAAAATTTGGGTCGCTGCGCGCCTGACGGATGCTCTGCGACGTCTGGACGCTCGCCAGAAACGCCAGGAAGCTTGCCTTCCACCCCTGGGCCCGAGGGCGAACGGCAGTGGTCGGCAGCCTCTGCGACGCTCCGATCGGCTCCTCGACCTCATCGCCTGCGACGAGCCAGCATGGCTCGTCGCTCGACGGCAGCCTGCTCAGTATGCTCTTGGCATTCTGTACAGCCTCGCCAGGCTCTCTGAGACAGCCTGCAGGGCCGGCGCGGACCGCCTCGAGCGCGATGGCCCTCCTCAGATACCTACCTCTTTGATGCCTGTCGGCTCTCCAATCTCGTCGCCGGCGGCAGGCCCGCATGGCGCGCTGCTCGATGGCAGCCTGCTCAGTACGCCTTGGACAGTGACTTCTGCCTCGCTGCTCTTACTGCAGCCGCCTCCGGGGCCGGCGCCGGCCGCCTCGCTTCGCCAGTGCTGTCTACACCTGCGACACGCGTGTCGGCTCGCCGCCCGCGTCGCCCGCGGCGGGCCCGCATGGCTCGCCGCTCGTCGGGAGCGTTCCCAGCAGGCTGTGCAGGGCAATCTGCCTCACTCAGGGCGCCGCCGCCGCTGCGCGGGGCCGCCACCGGCGCTGCTGCCGTGAACACTGCCGCCGTGTACGTCACCATCGCCTCTCTTCGTCGCCGATCTCGCCGACGCCGCTCGCCGCTCGCCGCCGCCCTGCCCTGCCCTGCCCTGCCCTCGCACAAACAAACACACACACACACACACACACACATACAGACACACATACAGACACACATACAGACACACAAGACACAGCCTACCGCAACCACGAGCGCCCCGCCCCTCCCGCCTCACGCCCTGCGCCTCACGCCGCGCGTCCCACGCACGCCCCGCGCCCCGCGCCCCCTCACCTCGCGCCTCACGCCTCCCTCCCCACCCTCTCAGGCATTTCTCCTCCCTGCTGCTCGCCGACTCCTCCTTCCCCCCGCATGACCGACGACTACCCGTCCTTCGGCGACTCCTCCCTCTTCGGCGCCAACGCCCACTACCCGTTCGGCCCGGTGAGGGGCGGGAGCGCAGCCATTCCAACGGCTGGAGAGTTTCTGAACGGCCGCGCATGCGCCTGCATGCCGGCTTACTAAGAATGTCCCTCGCTCCGGCTCCTCTCTCGGAAGACGCGCGCCGGCCTGGGGGACTCGCTTGCGATCCCGCTCCAGCCAGAGGCCGCGTGAGGCGTGTGGGACGGTGTACGCTGGGGCTTGGCCCCAAGTGCACTGGCCTCGCGTCTCGAGGGGAGGGCGGCTCGTAACTGAGGTTCGCCGTCAGGGACAGTCGTCCTCCCCTTCTCGGCCATTCCAACGGCCAGGCCGCTCGCTTAAGGCTGATTGGCTAGACGAGCGGCCTACCTCCAACGGGGCGGTCCGGGAACGCGTGGAACCTGCCCACCTCGGTGGGAGGTGGTTTGGCGCCGACGGACCGCCCTCTCCACCACCCTCGCCCAGGGATCTACAACGCTGTCTTAAGGTCCGACAGGTTCGGCACCGGGCACCGCCTCGGTATACAAAATGCGCCTGCGGGCGGACCCTCACAGATCACAGATCACAGAAAGCTGCGAATTCTCTCGTTGGCGCTGAAGCCCAGCCTGCTGAACCCCAGCTTCCCGCGGTCGCACGGTCGATGGGCGGTCGCACGGTCAAACGCCCCGAGCGCTACGGTGGATCGCCAGACAACTCACCGGAACGGCCTGCACGCAAACGCGCCAGGGGGCCCTTACAGCCGCTCCGGAAGCGGACGCGCTGCGGCACGTGCGCTGCGTGCAACGCCACAAACTGCAAGGCGTGCCGCTTCTGCCTGGACATGCCAAAGTACGGAGGCACGGGCACGCTACGGCAGCCGTGCATCCAGCGCCTCTGCGAGGCTATGCTCGCGGAGAAGCTGCAGGCCAAGGAGGCCGCCGCGGCCGAGCGCGAGGCCGACCGCGAAAAGAGGCGTGCCGAGCGCGAGGCGGAGCGGGAGGCGCGAGACGAGGTGCGGCGCGCGGCGCGGATGGCGAGGAACACGGAGCGTGAGGCGCGCCGCGGGCCGCGCCGCCGCATCTCGGCGGTCGACGGCGTCGACGGCCTGTCGGACGGGTTTGGGAAGCAGGCCGACGAGTTGCTGGCGGACGGGTGCGAGGTCGAGGTGCAGATGGAGGAGGAGGGGCTCGCGGGGGCGGTCTACAGCGGGACGCTGGTCCGGGACAAGGGCAAGCAGGAGGGCGGCGCGTGGGTAGTCTTCGACGAGCTGCTCGACGAGGAGGACGAGACGGCGCCGCTGCGCGAGTGGGTGCGGCTCGAGACGGTCCGGCGGCGCCCTCCGGCGACGCCGGCGGGATTCGCGCGGCTGGTGAGCGCGGGCGACGTGGTCGAGCTGTACTACGAGGACGGCTGGTGGCAGGTCGAGGTCGAGGGCTTCGTTCGGCCGGGCGACGCACCGCCAAAGGCGGAGGGCGCCGCTTCGCATGTCGCGTCGGAGCAAGGGCCGGAGGGGCCGGAGGAGCCGGAGCAAGGGCCGGAGGGGCCGGGCGCGGGAGGCGCGGCGCTGGCGGTGGAGGGAGCGGGCGCAGCCGACGCACGGAACGGCGGTGCTGCGGCGGGGAGCGTGTGTGCGGAGGGCGGCGGCCACGACGTGCTGCTCCAGGGCCTCGTCAAGCGGCACGACCTCAACGGCCACCGAGGCGCGTCCGCCCTCGGGCCTCCTCCCCCCCCCCCCTCCTCCCCCCCCTCCTCCCCCTCCTCCTCCCCCTCTTCCTCCTCCTCCTCCTCCTCCTCCTCCTCCTCCTCCTCCTCCTCCTCCTCCTCCTCCTCCTCCTCCTCCTCCTCCTCCTCCTCCTCTCCACCTCCACCGCCGCGCCTCTGAGCACGCCCCGCGCCCCAGCGCCCGGCCCGCCGCCCCCCCCGCCCTCAGGCATCACCGAGCACTTCGACCCGACTCGGCAGCGCTACCGCGTCCGGATTGCCAAGTCGGGGGAGCGAGTCAACGTCAAGCCGTGCAACATGACCTTCCTCCCTTCGCTGCACGCCTCCGCCACCGCCGCGGCCGCCGCCGCCGCCGACGCCGCCGCTGCTGCCGCTGCGCACCCTTCGCCCCCCTGCTCGCCCCCGGCCGACGACGCCCCCGCCGACGGAGCAGCGGGCGACGCGTCTAGCAGCTCGCCCCCGCGGCCCCGCCGCTCGGGAGCAGGGCAGCGGTCGCAGCGGTTCGAGGCGGGGCCGGCGCCGTCGCCGCGGGACTTGTGGCGGCAGGTGCGCGCGGAGGACGGTCACGGGCAGCCAGGAGGCGAGGGCGGCGGGTCGGTGGCGGGCGAGGCGGTGCTGGGCGAGGCGGTGCTGGAAAAGGCGCAGGAGGTGGAGGCGCAGGAGGAGGAGGGGGAGGAGGAGGGGGAGGAGGGGGAAGAGGAGGAGGAGGGGGAGAAGGAGGAGGAGGAGGCGGAGGCGCCGCAGCAGCAGGAGGAGAAGGAGGATGAGGAGGCGCAGAAGGAGGAGGAGGTGGAGCAGGAGGTGGAGGGGCAGGAGGCCGCATCAGAGGAAGAGGAGCCGGAGGAGGAGGAGGCGCAGGAGGAGGAGGTGCAGGAGGTGGCGGCGCCGGAGGAGACGGCGCCGGGAGATGCGGAAGCGGAGGTGGCAGACCCGGGGGAGATGACGCCTCTGCGGAAGGCCGGCGAGGAGGGCGGGGCGGAGGGCGGGGCGAAGGGATGCGCCAAGGTTGAGGCGGAGTCTGCATGGGAGGCCGAGGCTGCGGCGGTGGGCCCTGGCGTCGAGGAGGGCAGCACCGCGGCGAATGGCGGCGAGGTTTCCAACGGCGGCGAGGGGGCTGATGGCGGGGGGGCGCTGCCTCCGCCGGGAGGGGGGGCTGCGGACGGGTCGATGGACGGGGTCGTAGCGACGCCGGCGCTCGGCGGCGGCGGCGAGAGCCAGTGCGCCAACGGCGACAGGGTCGCCAGACAGGCCGGGGGCGGTGCACACGGCAGCGCCGAGGGCGGCGGCAGCGGAAGCGGTGCCGGCGGCGGGGCTGGCTCCGGCGTCGTCTTCCGCGTCCGGTCGGTCAAGTTCGACGTGCGGCACGAGGTTGGCGAGGCGGTGCTGCGCCCGCTCTGGATGTGGGACGCCGGCCGGTGCGTGTGGAGGTTCGAGCGTCGGCACGGGCCGGTGCGGCGCGGCTCTGCGCTCTGAGGCGCGAGGCGGTGTGGGTAGGTATGAGCTCGAGGCTGGGCACGGGTATGCGGGCGTGGGCGGCGAGGTGTTGCCGAGGCGAGGCGGGGCGCTAGCACGGGAGAGGCAGCTCTAACCGGCAGGCGACGTGGAGGGTAGGCGGTCTTCCGATTCGCGCGCGGGATCGCTCGCTCGCACGGCGGCAGCGACGCGAGGCGCTCGAGCTGCTCCCTGTACGACGCGATCGACTTTCTCTGACGAGGCGCGGCGGTCGGGAGTGCCCCTGCCGCGCGACACGGTCTCCTGCACGGCGGCGCCTTCCTTTGGGGGGGGGGGGGGGGGGCTACTCGCACCATGATCGCCTTGACGCGCAGGCGTAACGCGCCCGCGCAGTCGTGCTGGCTGTCGTTGTAGGAGGGAGCTGCCCGGGCAGCTCTAGCGGTCTAGGGCAGCTCGCTCGTCGCTGCGTGAGAGTGGTGGACCAGGAGTGTGGACCAGGTCCAGACTGAGAGGCTCATCAAAGACAAAGTCAAACTCGCGATTTTGGATACTAATATTTCAGCTGTATTTTACGTTTTAATCGTTATCGGAAACCAACAACCCCGGGTTGTTGTGGCTAGTTCCATTTCACTGTGCACAGCTCGCGTTACAAAACTTGATTATCG